GAATCCACCAGATGTTTAATAGGAGAAGGATGGACAATCTCCTCTTGTGCCATTTACTGCCTCTGAAAAAGGGGTTCCAATTCAAGGAAGACAATGATTCCTTTACCTAGCATGTTATCTTTCTCCAAGGACAACTCCTGATAACATACCCAAAGCATGTGGAGATGAAATCTCACCACCCTCCCAGCTGTACTTCCTCCATGACAGATTTGTTTGTGTGTTTTGGCGGTTCATGGTAGAGTCAATACTCTTTGCCAAGACTACAATTAAAAGGCATTGATTCTTCTTCAGCTTTCTTTATTCAATGTTTAACTTTCACATGCATATGCTGTCGTTGCTGTATCTGCTGTGGACTGTATGCTGTCAGAACTGACCCATAGCTGAACCCCCAGCAAATTTTCAGAGGCAGTAAATCACACAGGAGGAGGTTTCTCATCTTTCTCCTGAGGAGTAGCTCGTGGATTTGAACCTACATGCCTTTAGATAGGCAGTGAAACTCCTTACCACTAAACTATAAGAGCTCCCAACATGTATGCCTAAGATGTGTTGTTGTTGTTGTGTACCATACAGTCAGAACTAACCCATAGCTGACCCTCTGGTAGGTTTTCAGAGGCACTTAATCACATAGGAGGAGACGGTCCATATTTCTCCTGTGGAGCAGCTGGTAGATTCGAACCATGTGCCTTCTGAATTGCAGCTCTGCTTCTTACCACTTAGGCCACAAGAGCTAAACATATCATGGCTTGGGTCGGGTTTACCTAGTCCTTCAAAGAGACATGTTTGCTCTTTAGTACCTTAAAGAGGTTGTTTGCAGCAGACCTGACCAGTGCAACATCTTATTTGATTTATTGGTTGATGATTCCACAGGCATTACATATTTATCCAAGTGAAAGGAAACTTTTGACAACGTTAATTTTTTGTCCATTTAGCATGATGTTACTTATTGGTCCAGTTACAAGGATCTTATTTTCGTTATATTAAGATATAATCCACACTGAAGGCTTTTATCCTCATCAAACATAGTGACCAAATATATCTTGTTAAATGTATGAATTTGGGTTTCTGTCACTTACAATCAGTGGTCCAAACAATTACATCCACCAAGTATTGAAGCGACGTGTCACTCGGTGGCTCTTTCTCATGTTGCTGTTGTTAAGTGCCATAGAGTCACAGGCAACTCATAGTGACCCTATGAATGAAAGTCCTGGACACCTCCTGTATAACTTTCATCCTTTCTCCAGGTTCATAAGGTTTCCAGAGGCAAGCTATTGTGGAAGTGAATGCCACTCCTGCTTCCAAGCTTGTTTTAATCGGGGAGCTTCAGCAAACACTGTCCACCATGGGTAACCATTCTCGCATTTGACTCATCAGTGTCACAGTGTTCGGCTTCACAGCAACCACGAGTTACCTCTGTACAGCAAGTGGACATACCAGGGTTACACAACCTAGAAGAATGTTTCACCAATCTCTGTCTCTTTGTTGTTGTTGTTGTTATGTGACATCCTCAAATTCCACAGGAGGAAACAGAGCCCAGTCCTGAGCCATCCTCACAATGCCCACTGCATTGAAGTTCATGACTGCAGCCTCTGGGCCTGTCCAGCTTGTTGGGGGTCTTCATCTTTTTCTTAGACCCTCTACTTTTCCAATCAGGATGTCCTTCCCCAGGGCTGGCCCTTCCTACTAACAAGCCCAGAGCATCATTAGTCTCGCTTCTAAAGATCACTCTCCCATGACCAGGGGACATGGAAAATGGGTGGGGTACATATGAAGAAGATTAGCTCTGAAGTGTTAACTATTGCAATTGGGTGATGGGTATATGAGAGCTTATTATACTATTATCTTTATCTTCACATATGTTTGACATTTTCTAAAATAAAATGTAGGGAAAATAGTCTCCCCTCCCCCCCAGCTTCACACTTAAAAGTCTGGCACAAATCATGGCCAACAAAACAAGAGCAAAGGTAGGATCATACATAAATCAGACAATAGCAGGCGTCCACAGGGAGTATCCGTAATACGCCAACGCAGTAACTCAAGCATTCTTCACAGCTGCAAAGCGTTTTCGACACTAGACTTGAGTCTACCAGGGCTCTGCAGGATCTGGAGGTCTTAGACGACCACCCTCAACTCCACTCAGAAGGTTCTGTCATGCAGCTTCAGTTCCAGGGGGAATAAAGCATGTGTGTAGCAAACTGAACAACATGTAGTACTGGGGGCTTCCTCCTTCCTCCTAGAGAAGCACCACAAAGCAGTTATTGTCCACAGCTACCCATTACTGCATGGGTGCGCCTCTGGCACCCTGCTCAAGATGACCTCTCCTCCAAACACTCGCTGAGAAGAACGGTTGCTCTAACTCAGGCATGTATTTCTGCTAACCCACTTATGAGACGCCCATGATTCTGTCTCTCCATTAAGGTTACTGTTCACTTTTCCTCTTGGATTAAAGATTCTCTACCCCAGCTGCCCAGTAGAATCATCCATCATCTCTGAAAAAGTCTGATTCCCAGACTCTATTTCAGGCCAATTAAATCCCAATTTCTAAGTGTGGGGCTCAGCCATCTGCATTTTTAGAAACCTCTCAGTGATTCTCATGAGCAGCCAGGGGCTGAGAACCATTGCCTGGGATAGTCCTAGCTCTGTGAGCTGTCACGCCCCTTGGCTGCAGGCCTTACCCCTCCAGACAAGCTGTTAATGGTCAGAACCACTCCACTTCCAGGAATACCCAAATGGGTAGATCCCATTCAGTCCAGAACCAATGTCCTGCCTCTTCTTTATTCACATTAAGTGAGCCTTGGAATAGTTTTATCTGCCTGAGAATGCATGCGAGACCTAGTTAATTGAGAGCAAATGCTTTTTTACTTTTAATTTGGGAATCATTTTCGTTTTATAGAAGAGCTGCAAAAACAGTACAGAGAGTTCCCATATACACCCTTCACTCAGATTCCCCTACAGTTAACATCTTACGTACTGACTAGGGCACACTTACAAAAATTAAGAAAATGACATGTTTTATGAAGAATCCATCAGGTTTTCCACTAATATCCTTTTTCTGTTCAAGGTACTAGCTCAGGATACCACCTTGCGTTTAGCATAATGGATGAAAAATGTCCGAGTCAGTCTCTGACTCAGAGAATCAAAACGTTACCTCTGGCTTCATGCCCTTGTTCACTCTCTGCTTCTTACCTACTTTCACATTTGCATTTTAATCTCTCCCTAGGTCATCTTTGGTTTTGACCTGGCAGTCCTATTATTCTGAGTGAAAGCTACTTATCAACTGTGGGAATATGGAATTCTTCTGACAATCTAAATAAAGCTATAGACTATGCACTAAGAAAAACACATGGACAAAAATTCCAATTTCTGAACAATCAGACAGTACCTTCCTACCAACCTTCCACAGCGTGGCTTCCCCTGATACTGGTTCTGGAATGGAATCAGCACCTGCCCTCTCCCAAGACAATGTGTCCAGGTCCTCAGCACAGCGGCTGCCAGCTCCACTCTGGGTTGAAGCCAGCACCAGCTGCCCCAAGCACTGCTCTGCTTTGAGAAAACTCGCTCCAGCTGGCCGGGCAGAGCTGTTCAGTTGGGCATTGAAGACAGCTGGACTCTCCCCATCCTGCCAACTTGGCTGCCAGTAGAGAACCCCCACATGTTCGGCTTGCCCCATCAACACTTCAGAGCCTACTCCTCTCTAATGAAAAGAGACATCTAAGACTGTAACACGTCTTAATCCAGAAGCCATGTACACTTCAACAACGGAAGTGACTCCAGCACCCAGAGTGCTAACGGCAATCTTGACCAACATGAGATCTTCTAGATTTTAAAATGGCAGAAACCAAGATTGTCTCCTTCCAGGACAAAATGTGGATAGAACAATGTCTGCTTATTATTCTTCATCCTTGGAAACAGCAGGTGAGGCCTCCAATACCTCAAACCCATACACGTTTCAAATTCACACTGTCTCTTTTTTATTATTATTATTGTTAATTTTAATGAAAATTTACAGACTTTAGATTTCATTCATTCATTGTTGGACTTTTCTCCCTGCCCACCCCTCCCCTCCAGTTCATTCTTCTCTTTGAAAAGTAAAAGAAAAATTCTTTCATTGATATACAATCCCTCGCCCCAAGTCCATTCCACTATGTAGCCTTCATTCTAGACTCCTATCATGACAATAATACCTAATCATATATCCCTTTTAAACAGTTCTCTCTCGCATCTGTTTCAATGCAGTACACATAATCTATCCCATGTTTCTCAGTCTCCTCCCAACCCCGATGTCAGTCCTGTTTACAACAGTGGCACTATGCAGTCAGTATTTGTCCTTTTGTGACTGAAATATTTCACTCAGCATAATGTCCTCCAGGGTCACCCATTTTAAATATTTCATGAGTGCCTTGTTTTTCAATGCAGCATTGTATTCCATTGTGTGAATATACCACAGCTTCTCTATCCATTCATTTGTTGAAGGGCACTTAGGTTGTTTCCAACTCCTTGCTATTGTGAACAAAGCCACGATAAAACATGGGTGTACATAATATCTGCTTGGGTGGCAGTTATGGTCTCTTTGGGGTAGTGGAATTGCTGGGTCATATAATATCTTTATTTGCAACTTTTTGAGAAAGCGCCATACTGCCTTCTATCACACCGTCTCTTAAGGTAACATCAGCCTTTGCCTCTCACTTACTGTTCCTGACCTGACTTACACATCTCTTGCTCCAACCAGTTCCTCAGACCCTGTTCCATCCCATTCAACCAGGCCAGGTCAGATGTTGCTCATTCTTATCAATGCAAATTCATGCTAGACAGAGTCTAGCTGTCACCTAAGCTGTGTTACTCTGATACAGCCCTGGCAGAACCCCCTCTGCCCCAGGATCATATTGACTTCCTTTCTGACACCAGAGGCAGGATCACACCGATCCCTCCAACATCAACCCAGGGGGAACAGAGTTAGAGCATAGACCAATCATCCCTGCGGACAGAGCTCAATCTGGTCTTACCTTCTGCGAACGGTTCCCATTCATAAAAGCGACCCATGAAAGGCTTGTTGTTGTAAGATGCACACTGCACCTCTCGGATACTTCTACTACTTTCGGGACATACCTAGGAAAACAAAGATTGCATATCCAATCAGTGACTATGGCTTTTTTTGTGACCCCAGTCAAATAGTAGAATACCTCTAAAATTTAATAAAGTGCCACTCTCATAGTGCAAATGGTTACTGCATTTGGCTGCTAGGCCAAAAAATATTTCCAGTCAAGTCTACCCAGAGGCATCTCGAGGAAAGGTCTGGAGATTTCCTTCTGAAAAATCAACCACTGAAAACCCTGTAGGATGCAATTTTATGCTGATGCAGAAGAGTCACAAGAAGTCAGAATTCATCAGACAACAAATAGTTTAGGGTTTTGTTTTTGAGGGTTTTTTTGCTCTACCTAAATAAGTATTTCTGAAAGTTTTAAATATTAAATTCACCAAAAATTTCAAAGCACATTGCCAGGCTTCTGCTCATTTACTAACTCAGGATCTTCAGAGGGAAACTGACTTTTTAAGCAGCACTCCAGGGTTCTTCTTTGTATTGTATAATTTGAAAACCACTGCCTTGAACACTGTGTTCCTCACAGAGCAGTCTGCTTGCTTTTCCTCAATGAGGCCATCTATTTCTGTCTGTTTGGCTTTGTTCTTATCATTCCCCTTGTATGGAATAACAGTCACAGCAAACACACACAGTTCTTACAAGCTGCCAGGCACTATGTTCAACATATGCATTTATTTAATTCTCACTACAACTAAGGAGATAAATATAGCCTTGTCAATTTTTCACAGATAAAGAAATTAAGGCATGGAGGAGTCACAGAAACAATACACACCAGCCAGATCATGGTATGTGAGGATCCTAAAAAAAAACCAAAAAAAAAAACCAAAAAAAAAAACCCAACAAAAAACCAAACAAACAAAAAACAAGAAATCCTCAAGCTCAGTGCTATTGCATAGGAACTGGCTCATCGCTGACCCTCCAGTGGATTTACAGAGGCTAAGATCACACAAGAGATGGCTCACCTTACTCTTACTCTCATGGGGCAGCTGGTGGATACAAACCGCCTTGCTTTTGGTTGGCAGTACAATTCCTTATCCGCTAGGCCACCAGAGCTCCTGACCACTGATAATCTGTAGTGCCCTCTCTTCTGCTTACTTTTACATTTGAATGGGATATGTGAATTTGCGTGTGTGTGTGTGTGTGTGTGTGTGTGTGTGTGTGTGTGTGTGTGTGTTGCTTACCTAAAATGGAACTTCTCTTTAAATGCAACTATACTAGCAACTGAATGTAAATGCGGTGGAATGAGATGAACTATGAACTGGATTTTTTTTTAAAGTAGATGCTGGGTACTAAAATTTTTGTTATATGCACATCTTCAACACAAAATAATATTCAACATATTCAATAACAAAGAAAACAAGTTGGTCAATCTAGTACTTTACAATAATGTAAATGTCTGCGGCTATCCCACAATTAATAATTAACTTTAATAGGTTTTGCTTTTCAACAGTTCATACTTCAATTTGGATATTTGGTTTGCAGCAAATATTACAATTATAATGAACCAAAAGCATAACATCAAGCACTGTGTCTGGAGCAACAAGCAATGAAAAGTGAAATTTAATTGATACATAAAATTCTTCCTGTTACTGGTAGAACTCCAGTGAGGATGGCCCTTAGCAACCCTTTGAGCCTAAAGTGAGCTTGCTCCTTTGGTACAACTTCCAGACAAACATCAGACAGCCCTAAAAGCTGAACACAAACACCAGAGGGCTACTTGGTTCTTGGAGCCATCAACCATAGCAGGTCACAAGGGTAGCATTTGCCCAGGGAGAATGCTCAGAAGACAGGAAGGGAGAAAATAGAAGGTTGAAGGAAAAATAAGAGCCACAGGGAAAAATGTGAGAAGTCTACTCTTGGAATGCAAGAATTATAATCAATGTCATAAAACATCATGTCTACAAACAATAATAGACTCTGTAAACTATCACTCAAATGACAATAAAAAGTAAAAATGTGTCCGATAAATATAAGTCATTCAAATTCATTGTTAGGATGCAGTTAATTCTGACTCAGAGACCCTCCATCTGAAAGTCAATGGCTGTAAATCTAATGGGAGACTGCCCCTTTTTCTCCCCTGAGAATTGCAGTAGACACTATGTTAGTGTTAAATGAATTATTGTTGATATTCATATTTGCGTAAATGTAAACTAGTTTGCACTGATGAGTATACCAAATATATTTTGAAGTTAAAGTTACAAATAGTCTTTACAAAACTTGGAGAAGAACTCTGTACATAAATGTTGCGCAGTGTAGTTTCAAAGTGATTTGATAGAATTTATTGTATTTTGAAGTTAAAGTTATAAATATTCTTTGCAAAACTTAGAAAAGAACTCTGTACATAAATGTTGTGTTGTGTAGTTTAAAAGTGATTTGATTGAATTAATTGTATTTTGAGGTTAAAGTTATATTCTTTACAAAACTTGGAGAAGAACTCTGTACATATGTTGCGCTATATAGTTTTAAAGTGACTTGACTGAATTCGTAGTATTGGCTGACTTACTTCCTTAGTTTTTGCAGGTCGTCTGGGACTGGAGTTCCTATTAGTTGTTTACCAGGTTGTGCACAAGAGCACACCTTTGTGTCTGCATCATGGCAAATAGTATTGCTGTCACTCCTGGCTAGAGCTGTCAGATTAACAAATGTGTATGTATAAGACAGTTCTCTCAAAATGTAATGAAGTCTTGCTATTTATTAATAAAATTCATCCCTGTCTAGCAACCCCTCATGCTGAATCCAACCGCATATTGAATAAAGGTAACAAGACTTAAATTCCATGTCCGACCCCCACCGCTTGTTTATTAGAAAGAAATAGTATCCTCCTAAGAGACCTGCTAAGATAAGGAGTTTCAATTACAGGGAAGAGAGATAGGAGCAGATGTCAGTACAGGTGATGAAATGATGGGGAAATTACAGATTAAACAGCCTTGTGTGTGAGGGTACCCTCATGACCGTGTGTGAACTTTATTTCCTGCCAGCACGTTTCCACGCACTGGGTCTGGTTACAGTGTCATTTAGGGCCCTAGCAGAGTTTTTCCTTTGAGATGCTCCCTGAATAAGTAACACAGCCTAGATTTAAACTTAAGCAATCTGGTGCCATCAGCCTTTTAGAAACTAACCCAAGCATTCAAAGTAGAAGGAATTCCCAATAATCAGTGTGCAAAAGAATCACCCAGAGATCGGAGTGGAAATGTAGACTCCTGGGTCCCACCTCTAACGCTAAGTATTCAGCAGGTCTGGGATGAGTTTTACAAAGCAGCATTTTATCAGACAGTCTAGATCATTCCAATCCGTTATGCTACTCAACAAAAAGGTCTGACTCCTTTGGGCTCATTTGTCTCTTGTTTATGAAACAGTAAATGTGAGCAAAGCATGAAATAAAATAGTCAGGTCAGGATCTCTAGCTCAGATCGTGGGTAAAGCACAATCTAACTTTTTCAAATTGAGCTACAGTACATTTAAGGGGTGTGTGAGTGTGTGTGTGTGTGTGTGTGTGTGCGCTTGTTTGTGTACTTTAATAAGCAGAAGGAAAGGAGAACTGGCTTCTTAAATATTAAAACTCTGTGTATAAGACTGTAACAAAACAGTCTAAGATCCTCAAGGATTTATAAGGCAATTGGCTGTATGTGTCAGGAACACCAGGGCTCCCGGAAGATAAAGAAACAGGGGAAGGAACGAAACCAGGTGGAAAGGGAAAACAACTTCTGATGGGTAAAGGGGGAAGCTGCTGGGCCAAACACACAGGGTGGCCAAAACCCTGCCCCCCTCGAGCCAAACCATATGGAGCAAGAAGGCACTTGAAGCAGAACGTGATGCAAACTGGTGGGAGAAAACGGCTAAGGAAGAGACAGGGTGGGCTGAGCTCTGAGGAGCTGACAGGCCCGGAAGGCCGCCTGGAGGACTCTGCAAGCAAAGCTGCTGGCGGCCCTAAGCCGGAACAGGGGAGGCGTCCAGAAACACCAGCTGACTCCTTGAAGGCGCGCAGGACAAAGTGCTTTTTTACAGCCCCCTTGGCTACCAGGAAGGATCCATTTGACGGTCATGGGCTCGGTGTTCTAGCTAGAACCAAAGTTTGACCTAGACATGGCCAGTCAAGTGCTGTGGGAGAAGGCTCTACCCTTGAAGTAGTTTCCCAAGCCTGTGGAAGAACCAGCAGCTGGGCTTGCTGGAAAAAAAGGCAGATTCTCAGGCTTTGCCCCCATGGGAGGGTGGAGATAAGTGCTCAAGGTCCTCCATGGGGAGACTGGTACCACCAGCCTGGACAGCAACAACAGAGCCACACCAGAGCACCTATCTCACTCCATGTCCTTTTAGCAGGATTCCTAGACTAATAAAGAAGAGAATGAAATTCAAGTCCTTCAATTTACATATAAGAAAACTGAAGCCCAAAGAAAGTGCATACATTGTCAAATTCAACTTAGCAACACTGCCTGTGAGTCATTTCCAACCCACAGCAGTTTCCCAGTCAAGTTTCAGTCAAGTTTCCCAGTCTGCTAATCACAACAGGAGGAGACTGTCTCTCTCCCTCGGGCCTAGTGAATTCGAACCAGCAGAGGCCTCTGGATTAAAGGGCCAACTTGGTGAGACTATGCCTCCACAGCTCCCCCCATTGTCAAGAGTCCCAGGATAATGTAGAGCCAGAAGTAGGGCCCCTGAATAACCAGATCCCTTCCATCATATCACTCCATCCATTACTAGAAACTAGATATCCCTGCTGGGTTTCACGTTTCCATATTCAAAACAGATGAAAACAGCTGGGTTTAATGTCCAGCTTTCCCAATAATGACACCTACATAGAGCCAGTGAGAAGCAGGGGTGGGTTTGTAATATATTCTCGCCTTGCAGGTGGAAACTTGGGTTCAATTCTCAGCCAACGCACCTCTCACATCACCATTACCAATCCGTTATGATTGGCTTGTGTGTTACTAGGATGCTGAACAAGTCGCTGTGGAGCTTCCAACTTAGAAAGATTTGGAAGAAAGGCCTGGATCCATTCAGGAAAATCAGT